AGCAACGGCACTGGGAAGGAACAAGAGATCTTCACGTATCAGTCGCTGCTGGCGTACACGGTACTCCTGAGAAACCTGTCACCACAAGAGCAGCAGAGCATCAGAACGTATCGGAGTTATGGAAACTCCGCGGAGCTCGCATGGCACCACCTCAAATGCCTTTACCAAGCAAACGACAGCGTGACACAAAGCAGACTCATGCAACAGCTGACAACAATACAGATGAAGACCGGGGAAAAGGCGATGCAGTATATGAGTCGCTGCCAGACCCTCCGCGACCGCCTGCTTCGGTGCGGAGGAACGATCACTGAAGAAAGCTTCGTGACACTTGTCCTCGCCGGGCTCGGGCCAGAATGGAGAACCACACGATCACTTCTTCGAGCCCACGGAAGAATTTCGGAGATGCACCTCTGCGCCGAGCTTCACGCTGAACAACAGGAGATGGATCTGTTCGAGGAAAGACAACCAAGGAAGCAACAGCAGTTAGTCTTCTACACTCAAAGAAGAAATGACAACAACTACAACCGACGCAGCAAGCAAGATCAACGTGACAACCGAGGACTCACCATTGTGCCGCCGTTCTGCCACAACTGTCAGACTTCCGGGCACTCCAAGGTCAACTGCAACCGCCCTCGCGTTTACCGTGCAGCAGACCCACAAGTCGCTTCCACTCAAGCAAGTCCTCCAAGGCGCTCTTCAACATCTGCACAACAAACACCCAACATCATCAACTGCATGGTACACATCGACAACTGCGCACCCGCTTCACCACCCACTTACGCACCAGACGAAGAGGAATTCCCGCCGCCGCGCTCGCAAGGACTTCAGGTCAACCCGACATACGCTGCAGTCGCTAACGCCGAACCCACCGGGCGGAACACCTGGTTCTTGGACAGTTGCTGCGGTCAGCACATGTGCTCCTCCGGACGCTTCGTACAACACGAGCGACGCCTCAACCGTGACGTCGTCATCACCGTCGCCAACAACGAAAACCTGAAAACAAACAGACAAGGCGTGGTTCAGTTACAATCAATGGAGACAAACGTTATTCTTCAGCTCAACAAGGTCCTCATCGTCGACAATCTGGGATACAACCTATTAAGCGTAAGCCAACTAATGGCTAAGGGGATTCACCTGGAGTGCGACTCCTTCTCCAACGAGTTCCGACTTTACCACGGGAAGGGCGGTCTCTTCATCGGTCGTGCCCTCCTGAAGTCCGGTGTCTTCGTGTTGGACTTCGTCCCCGACCGCGGAACTGCCGACAGCGACGGTATCGTATCCTTCGCCGCCTGGACTCATCCGCCAGATCTTGATCCCGACTTCGACAGCGACGGCTTCTGGCACTCCAACACCATACCTGTTGCAGAAAGAACACGAGCATTAGCAGTTATCAGACAAGAAAGACAAGTACCCGCATGTGTCCCAACAAAACCATCACCCGCAGTATCGGCAGCAGGACCCAGCCGAGTACCACCACCAGCGACACGAGGACAGCCAACCGAAGCAGACCAACTTATGCCCGCCACACGAGAAGCTTGTCGAAGTCCCGCCTCGGTCGTCGCGTTCTTCTCCAACGCCGACATCTACCACCGCTCGCCCGGTCACCGCGCTCCCGACGACATCTGGCACCAACGTCTCGGACATCCTGCAAACAGCACGATACTTCAAACAATCCAAGCAGAAGTGTTAGAACGCAACGCCCTTCTGACGACGAGCGGCCAGGAACTCCGACGACCACGCGCACGGTGTTTCACATGCCCCGAAGCAGATCTTCCTCATCAACCTTTCCCAGCCCATCACAATCCAAGCGCACCCACTTACGCTCCGATGGAAAAGGTCTACAGCGATATTCTAAACATGCCTCGAGACGACACCGAAGCCGACTTCAACTACGTCATCACGTTCATCGACGCCGCAACCAGATACGTCTGGCACTTCAATCTCAAAACGCGCGATCAAGCCTTCGAGGCATTCACCACATGGCTTCCAATCGCCGAACGAGAGTCAGGAACCAAACTCAAGAGTTTCCAGTCAGACGGTGCACTGGAATACCAGTCACAACGCTTCAGGACCTATCTCGCGGAAAGGGGAATCCGACGCCTGGTGTCTCTGCCCTATGCTCACCAGCAGCAGGGGGTAGCAGAACGCATGAACCGGACCTTGCAGACGACGATGCGAAAACTGCTTCTGGGGATGAGGCTGCCCAACGCACTGTGGCCAGACGCGATGACACATGCAGTCCACCTGCACAACCTGTTGTCCTCGTCATCGCTCCCCAACAACGCATCACCACACCTGCTGTGGACGGGAAAAAGGGGCAGCACAAAATTACTTCGAGTTTTCGGCTGCATGGTACAATACAGACCCCACACAGCTCGAGCAGGACGCTTCACTCAACGAGCTCGGTGGGGACTACACCTCGGCATCGCCAAACATTTTCACGCGTGGAAGATCCTCGACATACACGACAAAAATACGGTGGCATCACGTGATGTTATCTTCTACGAGCGACTGACGCTGCAGCATTACCTGGACAACATTGCCAACTCAGACGACCCCACCGACGGCTTCGCGAGCCTTCGCTCCTTCGCTGACCATGCTGCCGAGGCTGACGCAGCAGAAGAAGACGTACCTGGAGCCTCGGAAGCTGCCGGGCCACTCCCATTCTGTTCCATACCTGTTCCACTCGATGAAGATAATCCCCTCGATAGCAACAACCTCGACACCTTTTACCACTTCGCCGACCAAGGTTACGCTACACCGCACCCCGTCGACACGAATATTTCGGAACGCATCGGCCCCAATTTCTTACCTGACCCCGAAGACGGTGACGAAGCAGCTTATTCGGGGAATGACAATTCCCCTCGACACACACCCACGGGACTCCAGATTCTAGGCCTCTGGGTCTCCGTCCAGCATCCGCCGCCGCCTTCTACGCGTGAGCCTTCAACCTTGTCGCAGGCTCTGGGGGGGAACATAAGGCAAAATGGAAAGAAGCGATGGAAAAGGAGTTAAAAGCTCTGCAAGACCGAGAAACATGGAAACTGGTACCTGCAACGAGCATCAACGGGAAGAACGTTCTCTCGGGGAAATGGGTGTACCGCATCAAGACCAACTCAGACGGCTCCATCGAACGATTCAAAGCTCGATGGGTCGTACGAGGCTTCGATCAACGATACGGAACCGACTACACAGAAACCTTCGCCCCAGTCTCCCGTCACACCTCATTACGCATCCTACTCGCCGTCGCGGCCACAAAAACACTACCACTACGCCAAATCGATGTCGCGAATGCGTTCCTATACGCACCTGTGGACGCTGAGATCTTCGTCGAACAACCCCACGGATTCATCGACGACCCCACGAAAATATGCCGACTGACAAAATCCCTATACGGGATCAAGCAAGCCCCGCGGCTCTGGCAGCAGCACCTTCACAGCCGTCTCGTAAAAATCGGCTTCCTACAGCTGCCGCATGACCAAGGGATGTACCGACTGCAGAAGGGAAGAGAGTATGTTCTGCTCATCGTCTACGTCGACGACCTGCTCTACATCGGCTCAACTACCGACATCGCCACCTGGTTCGAAGGGGAGCTGAAAGAAGATTTAACTCTCACGGTGTCCGACGAAGTTACGCAGTACCTAGGACTGAACGTCGTCGAAGACGACACGGCGTTCTACCTACACGCTGGAAAGTACTCAAGCACCGTCGCGAAGAAATTCGCTCTAACACCGACTGCGGTCCCAACTCCCTACCGCTACGGGAACAACGGCAGCGCCTCTACAAAACTCCCCGCGAAACAAATCCAGGAGTATCAACAGAAGCTCGGCTGCCTACTATTCGCAGCAGTAACCTGCCGACCCGACCTATCCTATAGTGCGAGTCAGCTGGCGACACATCTGAAGCATCCGCAACAGGAAGATCTCGAAGAACTCAATCGAGCGCTACTCTACTTCGTCTCCACGCCGACGATCGGGCTTACCTACAGCAAGGCAACAACACCGTCCGTACGACTACTCGGATACGTCGACGCCGACCACGCGGGAGACAGCGAAAATCGACGGTCTAGGACGGGCTACATCTACCGACTAGAACCTATCGGAACTATCTCCTGGCAGTCGAGCAAGCAGGAGTTAATCGCACTATCCTCGGCTGAAGCAGAGTATATCGCCCTTTGTACTGCGACCAAGGAAGGACTCTACCTACGAGAGTTACTCGAAGAAGCGAAGATCGCGACCCTGCCCGCCTTCTCACTCCTCTGCGACAACCAATCTGCGATCAAAATCGCGAACAAGGACGGCTTCGCCAATCGAACCAAGCACATCGCCCTGCGGTACTTCTTCGTCAAGGATGAAATCGCGAAGGGGAGACTTCAACTCAGTTACTGCCCGACGACAGAAATGGCCGCAGATTATCTGACGAAGAAATTGGCGAAAGCAAAATTCGACTACTGCATGCTCCTAACCGGGCAAACAAACGCCACCAGATCTGAACACTCCAGCACTCCAGAAACGAAGGGGAGTGTTGGAAATATCTCAAGGACTTAAGCGTTTCTGAAGTGTAACACTGTACTCGAGGAAGACTACAGGGGAGCACGCGAGTCAACGGAGGTTACACGAGGGGGCGGACAAAGAATGCGAAAGGACTCGAAAGGTCGCAACTGGAGGTTGCGACTGACCGTTACAACATCACGGATGGTAACCGAAGCGGCAATCGAGTCGCTGTGCGACTCGATAAACCGTTCCTGTAACTGTATTCTACAACTGCTTTCTTATCTACTATATATTGCTGTATGCTTGTTTCTTTAATTAATCACTTGTTCTCACATACTAGTACAAGGGTTCAACCGTCTCAACTTCCGCTGCACTACTCCAAGTCTCAAGTCTTTACAGCTGGGACTTAGTCTCTGCAAAAGATCCTAAGGGCTTTTCTCAGCCCAACAATTCCATTATTCTGAGAATGAGCTGGACTGAACAGATCCGCTTCGTAGAGATTTGTTAAATATTTAACTCATTAGCAAGAGCACAAGCACACATTAGCCTACTGGCACCATTAGCACAAGCACACAGATTAGCCTATTATTGGTCAGGTACCAGGTTTCCTTACTATTACCAGAACCCAGAGGTCAATGCTAGTTGTTGATGCTCCATGGCTGCCACTCAAGGGTTCACTGCACTGCACGCACCAGCCGCTGCTCCACTTATTCACTGCTGCTGGAGTTGGAGCAGCTGTTGCTGCAGCACCTGCTGCTGCAGCTGCAGCTGCTGTTGCAACTGGAATTGCTGCTGCTGCTGCTGCAGCCACACTTGCTCCAGTCGCTGCTGCTCCTGATGCAGCCGCTCCTGCTGCTGCTGCTGCAGCCGCTGCTTCAGCTCTGCGCTCATATCCACACGCAGCGACCCGGGCAGCTGCCAGAACGTTGCGGGCAGGCTCTGGAGCGCCGGGCAGTCAAGCCGCAGCAGGCGCAGGTGCTGCAGCTGCCCGAAACTTTCGGGCAGCTGCGAAAGGTTCTTACTTGTGAGGGAGAGCTCCTCAAGAGCAGAGAGACGGCCGAAGGAAACAGGCAGCCAGTTGAGATTGTCACAGGAGACGTCGAGGAGAGAAAGGTTGATCAGCGCAGAGAGCGAGGAGGGGAGGGACTCGAGGCAGTGGCACTGGAGGATCTTGAGCGAACGCAGCGCCGTCAGCTGCCCGACTGACACGGGGAGCAGGGTGAGGTGGGCACAGGCGAGGGTGAGCGAGGTGAGGAGGGAGAGGTTGCCGATGGACTCGGGCAGCGCGTAGAGCTTGGGGCTGTCGAGCACAAGGGAGCGCAGCGAGGTGAGCGCGCCAAAGGAGCGCGGCAGCGACCCCGAGAAGCGCAGCTGCAGCTCCTCAAGGCGGGGTAGCGCCACGAAGGTGGGCGGCAGGGCCGTCAGGTGCGGGCACAGCAGGCGCAGCGAGCGCAGGCTGGCCAGCGAGCCGAAGGCCAGGGGGAGGACGGAGGTCGAGGGCATGGCTGTGGGCGCCGGTGGCAGGCGGGAGAGGTCAAAGGAGCCGGTGAGCGGGGAGGAGGGCGGGGGGAGGGGCGCCATGGAGGGAATGGGCGACGAGGAGCGGTGGGAGGAGTGCGAGCGAGGGGGCGGGGGGGGAGAGAAGGAGGCGGCGAGGGCGCTGAAGATGGCAGCAGCGGGGGTGGGGAGGGGCGGAGGTGTTAGGGGCAGGGGCTCGGGGACAGCAAGAGCAGCAGCCGGCTGGGGGGTGGGAATGGAGGCGGAGCACTCAATGGAGAGGGAGGAGAGGGAGGTGAGCAGGGTGAGTCCCCTGGGAACAGTGGAGACGGCGTTGGTGGGCAGCGAGAGCGAGCGCAGCCTCTTGAGGCGAGAGAAGAGCATGTCCGGCAGCTGCAGGTCCCCCGAGCACCCGTCTAATCGCAGCTCTTCCAGTGACGCTAGCTCAGCCATGGACGGGGGGAGACTCTCCAGCGACCCGCTGACTAGGCACAGCTGAGTCAGCTCCTTCAAGCACCCGACGCCAGGTGGCACGAGGGAGAAGGCCCCACGCAGATCGAGGTGGTGCAGGCGGCGCAGGCGCAGCAGGGAGTGCGGTAGGAAGCGCAGGTGGCCGTGTGCGCCCCACACCTGCAGGTGCGTGAGGCTGGGTGCCAGGCACTGCAGGTCGTCGGGGAGGAAGGTGGCATTGCGCAGAGTCAGGTGCTTCAGCTGCGTGAACAGTCCCAGAGATGGCGGCACCGACACACACTCCAACGGGTGCTGCTGCTGCTGCTGCTGGTGCTGATAATGGTCCCCGAACAGGCTACCACCCCCACCCCCACCCCCACCGCCGCTGCCTCCCATGGCAGTCTCGCTGTGGCCCTTGCTCCGTCGGGGCGTCTCCCACAGCAGCTCAGTGAGGTACGCCAGGCGCGCAGCGGACGGCGGCAGGTCCAGCAGGTCGGCGCAGCGCAGGTGCAGCGCGCGCAGGCTGGAGAGCTCGTCCAGGCAGTTGGGCAGGAACGCCAGGCCCTTCCACCCCGACAGGGACAGGCGCTGCAGCGACGGCAGCGACCACAGGGACGGCGGCACGAAGGCGGGCAGGGGGAAGGCGAGGTGCAGGTCCTGGAGGAGCGTGAGGTGGCCGATGGAGTCGGGCAGACGCACCTGCTGCCGCGGGTTGTTGATGTGCAGCGACAGGTGGCGCAGGTGGTGCAGCAGGCCCAGCGACTCCGGGATGTCGACCACACTCAGCACACCGCGCAGCTCACCGCCATCCCCTGCTCCCCCCCCTCCTCCTCCTGCCTTTGCGCCTGATCCCCCGCTTTCCATCCCCCCTCTCCCTCCCAGCCCCCCCTCGCCGCTGCCCTTGCTCACGCTGCCAGAAACTGGCCATGCTCCCGACCCAGGAGCAACAGTCAGTGGTTTGGACCGGGCAGGAATTATTTCCGACCTCCGTGAGTCCGGCAGGGTGTGGCGGTGGTGGTTGGTGTTGGAGGGCGTGGCGAGGCGGATGGGCACGGAGTCGTGCAGCAGCTGGGCCACGTTCTTGCTTACCGCCGGGGGCAGCCCCTTCATGCCGCCCACGCCACTGCTGCTGCCACCGTTGCTGCTGCCCAAGCTGCCAAATAGCCCTCCCAGACCGTACCCCGTGCCAGCACCGTTGGTGCCACGTGCAGCAGAGGCGGAAACAGCACCGGGTGCATAGCCAGCAGCAGCAGCAGAGGAGTGTGAGAGGCCCGGCATGATCCCAGTCTGCGGCGTCCACCACCCCCCCCCGCCCGCCGCTGCACCCCCTGTGTCTCCACCAATGAGGGAGCGCCAGCTGTCGGAGATGAGAGCGCCGGCAGCACTGCTGGCAATGCGGCCCACAAGGCTGGTGCCCCCGCTGGCTGCTCCTATGAGCCCGTCTGCTATGGTGCCCGAGATGGTGCCACTTATTATGCTGCCTGCCATGCTCGATGTCCTCCCTCCTGCTGCCGCTCCTGCACCCCCTCCCACGCCCTGTGCTCCCCCTACAAGCCCCCCCGCCCCCCCCGTGTAAGCGCTGGCATCAGTGTAGCCGTGGGGCATGGCACCGCCGCCAGCAGCAAAGAGCAGAGGACTGCTGGTGCCGCTGCGGGGGGGATAGGGGGACGACTGCTGGTGGAACATGGGGATCTGATGGTGATGGTGATGATGATGTTGCTGGTGATGCCGATGATGGTGTACGGGAGTGGCAGCAACTAACCCCACATTCGCCCCTCCCACTTCTCCCCTGCCCGCCCCTGCTGCCACCCCTGGCGGCATCAAGCTGCCCGGGGCAAAAAGAATCTTCATCAGCTGCTTCAGCTGCACGCCGTTGGCCACATCCCCGCCCGAACCCGCAGAGGCAGCAGCAGGCGAGGGGTTGCGGGGCGGCGTGGCCTCGATGGCGAGGTGCTGCAGCAGCGAGCAGCCCTTGAAGAGCGTCGCCAGCCCGTGCGGGCCGTACGCGAACCCCAGGTCGGAGTCCGGGCCGAGGGTGAAGTGCGTGAGGGCAGGGCAGGTGTAGGCGATGGTGCAGAGGAAGTCGTCGGACACGGGCGCGTCGAGCGAGCAGGAGGGCAGCAGCAGCGAGTGCAGGTTGCGCGAGTACGAGAGCGCGCGCAGCAGCCCCATGGCGTTCACCCGCTTGCCCCGCTGCAGCTTCAGGCGGGTCAGACCCTGCAGGGGGGGGTGCAGAAGGAGCTGTGAGAGTGCGGAAAGAGCCAATCGTAGGGAAGCTCTTGAACCACCTCAAATTTCAGCTGATGAACCACCTGAGCATCACCTGATGAAGCACCTGACCTGAGCTCGCCTGAAAAACCACCTGAGCCTCACCTGATGCGCCACCTGGCGCCAGGCCCTGCAGACGCAGGAGAAGCTGATCCAGTCGTGGGGCGAGTCGAGGAACGACAGCACGCCCAGAAGGCACTCCCCCGTCAGCCGCGCCCCACTCGCTGCTGCCCCCCGCTGCCGCGCCGCCGCTACCGCTCGCCGCGACACGCCCGTGCCTGACCGGCTCCGCGCCGCGCTGGCTGCTCCCGGGAAGGACGGGAAGGCAGCAGAGAACGCACCCAGGTCCCCAGCAGCGGCGGCGTCGGGGCGGTGGAGCATGGCGGCGCGGTGGGAGGAGCGGTGGCGGCCCGATGTGTTCGAGTCAGACGTCTCCAGCTCTGGGAAGGGGGGCAGCGGGGTAGGGCGCATGGGGAAACACGGGGGGAACATCAAATAAACGCAGTGAGGAAAACAGGGCCATAGGGTGGTCTGTTGGAGACAGGGGATAGAGGTTGGAAGCTGAGGAGTGGCGTCACTCTCAGAATAACAAGCTTTGGAGCAAGCACTGCAGCGTGCCAGTACTAACTGACATAGCAGCCAGATGAGATGAGTGGAGCATGGGGATGCGCGTGTGGGTGGGCCCGCATACCCGCATCGCTGTCGTACGGCGTGGACAGCTCGCTCTCCTCCTCGCTGCCACCCGCCATGCCGGCTGCTCCCCCCTCCCCGCCCATGGCCTTGGCCCGTGCTGCCGCCAGCTGCTGCTGCAGCAGCAGCGCCAGCCCTCTGGACCCCCCCAGCGCGCCCAGCACTCCCTGCGACGATCCCTCTGCCATGCCAGTTCCAAATATGTCTACCACTGCCCCCTCCTCCTCCTCCTCCTCATCTTCATCACCCTCGTCCTCCTCCTCCTCCTCCTCCTCCTCATCATCATCATCTTCCTCTTCCTCCTCCTCCTCCTCCTCTTCCACCTCGTCAGTGTCTTCCTCCTCCTCATCCTCGTCCTCCTCCATCTCCTCCTCTTCATCCTCCTCTCCCGTGATTTCTTCATCAACATCCTCCACTTCGCCTTCCTCCTCTTCTTCGTCCTCTTCTTCTTCCTCTTCTTCTTCCTCCTCTTCCACCTCCTCTTCCTCCTCCTCCTCTTCCTCCTCCTCCTCTTCCTCTTCTTCTACGCCAAAACCATCCTCCTCCTCCTCCTCACCCTCACCTGCGACATGAAATGCGAACCCGCCACTTTCTTCCCCCTCCTCTCCCTGCTCTCCCTCCTCATCCTCGCCCTCCTCCTCATCCTCCTCGTCCTCTTCTTCCTCCTCTCCCTCGTCACCATCTATGACCTCTCCCTCCCCTCCCTCCCCTCCCTCCTCGCTCTCCTCTTCCTCTTCCTCCTCCTCATACGCACCCCCCGCTTCCACCTCTCCCTGCCCCGGATCGCTGTCCTCCCCCTTCCCCTCCTGCAGCCCCTGCCCTCCGCCATTCGCCCCCACCCCCCCCTGGGCGAACTCGAACGTGCCGTCCAGGGCGTCTCCCTCTGCTGCCGCGTGCCCTGCCTCACCGCCCTCGCCCGCTGCTCCCTGCCAGCCCTGCTGCTGCTGTTGGAACAGGTGCTGCTGCTGCGCATCCTGAAAGCCTTGATCGCTGCCCATGGGCCCATCATGCCCCCCTTCCTCTGCATACTCTCCCTCTCCTCTGTACTCTTCCTCTCCCTCATACTCTCCTCCAGTGTACTCGCCCTCTTCATAATCCCCCTCCTCGTATTGCCCCTGCTCCCCAAATTGCCCTTCAAACTGTTCCACCCTGTATTCACCTTGTCCCTCACCATACCCGTGCTGGCCTTCGCCATACCCACCTTGAGCGTTAGCATGATCACCCTCGCCGTCGTGGTACTCTCCTGCCCCCCAATCACCCTCCTCCCCAAAATTCGCTTCCCCGTACTGCCCTTCTCCCTGCCCGAATTGCCCTTCTCCCTGCCCGAATTGCCCTTCTCCCTGCCCGAATTGCCCTTCTCCCTGCCCAAATTGCCCTTCTCCCTGCCCGAATTGCCCTTCTCCCTGCCCAAATTGCCCTTCTCCCTGCCCAAATTGCCCTTCTCCCTGCCCGAATTGCCCCTCACCCTGCCCGAATTGCCCCTCTTCCTGCCCGAATTGCCCTTTTCCCTCCTCCAGGTGCCCCTCGCCTTCCCCATACTGCCCCTCTCCCTCCCCATACTGCCCCTCTCCCTCCCCATACTGCTCCCCCCCTTCCCCATACTGCCCCTCCCCCTCCCCATCCGCATACTGCTCCTGCCCCTCCAGATAGGCGCCCTCTCCCTCGCCTTGCCCAGGAAAGCCCCCAAACTCCCCTCCCTCCATGCGGCCCCCTTGCTCATAATCACCATACCCCTCCCCACCTGCATACTCCCCCCCACCTCCTTCCCCATACCCCTCCCCATCAACATACCCTTCCCCCTCCCCTCCCTGCTCGCCCTCCCATCCCCCTCCTCCCTCCTCCTCGCCCACCTGGAAGCCACTGAACCCTCCCTCCCCACCTTCATCCTCGTTATAGTGCTCCCCATCATACTGCTCGCCATACTCCCCATCAGCACCCCCGTCCTCGTGGTACTCCCCTTCCCCACCCCCTTGGTGATACTCCCCTCCTCCCCCCCCATGGTGGTACGCCCCCTCCCCCCCTTCAATCAGCTGCCCCTCGCCCCCTTCTGGATACTCCTCCCCCTCCTCGTACTCCTGCTCTTGGTCGTACTCACCCCCACCCTCGTTATATTCAGCTTCACCGAATTCTCCCTCTTGCTGCTCCGCATACTGCTGCCCCTCTTCCCCATACTCCCCTTCCCCCTCACGGTACTCCCCCTCCCCTCCCTGATACTCCCCTCCAGCCCCTACACCCCCCTCCTCGTAAATCCCTTCGCCCTCACCAAACTCTTCTCCATGCCCCTCCTCCTCATGCTCCCCCTCACCATATCCCTCCCCATACCCCTCCTCCCCGTACCCCTCCTCCCCCTCCCCCTCCAGCACCTGCTCCAGCTCGCCCCCCTCCCCCCCTCCGCGCTGCCCATCGCCCCTGCCTCCCTCATCCCCGCCCGCCACGGACCCAAAGCCCCCCAGCGGACTGCCCAGGGCGCCATTGCCCAGGGGACTGCCCATGGGGCTGTTGGCCGCGAAGCCGTCCCCCATGGGGCTGCCCATGGGGCTGGTGGCGGCGGGCGAGGGCGGCATGTGCATGGCCTCGAGGGAGAAGCCGCGGGGGGCGCGCGGGCCGATGGAGGGCAGGCGCCAGTGGTGCAGCACCTCGGCACTGACCTCGTCCAGCAGCGTCAGGTCTAGCTGCAGCTCCTCCTCCTCGCCCTCCTCCCCTGCCACCATCACCCGCCCATACTCCTGCCCATGCCCATCGCCATCATCCTTCCCATGGCCGTGCATGCCATGGTCCTCATGCTCGTGCTGCTGCGAGCCCGCCTCATCGTGCCCGTCCAACTCCATGCTGTCATGCCCATCGCCGTCCAGCTCATCAGCAAAGCCGTCCAGGCCGCTGATCCCCTCATGCTCCTCGTCCATGTGCATCTCCAGGCGTTCATCCATCTCTGCTGCCATCTCCAGAGCCAACTCCCTCTCCCTCTCTCTCTGCCGCTCCCTGTCGTCCTCCTCATCCTCCCCCCCCTCCTCCTCGTACCTCCCCTCCTCTTCACCATACTCACCTTCTCCATCAAACCTTCCCTCCTCCCCATAACCGCCTGCCTCTTCCCCATACCTCTCACCCTCCTCCCCATACCTCTCACCCTCCTCCCCATACCTCTCACCCTCCTCCCCATACCTCTCACCCTCCTCCCCATACCTCTCACCCTCTTCCCCATACCTCGCACCTTCTTCCCCATACCTCTCGCCCTCCTCCCCATACTCCTCACCTTCAACATATCTCTCCTCCCCATCTTCATACCCTTCCTCCCCCCCATGTTGCCCTTCCTCATACTCCTCTTCTCCCTCCATCCCTTCCTCCCCTTCCTCGCCCCACCTTCCATCCTGCCCATCCTGCCCATACGCCCCCTCCTCCCCCCCACCATACTCCCCATCCATCTGCATGCCCGCCTCTTCCCCATCAAGCCTCCCCTCCATTCCCTCCTCCTCCCCGTCCTCCCCCCGCCCTCGTCGCCGCACCAGGTCGTCAATCTTGGCGAACACCGAGTCGGTGCGCATGAGGTCGGTCTTCTGAATGCCCCTCGCCCCCGCCTTCGCCTTCAGCAGCTCCGTCGCCGTCACGCTCTGCGACCGCGACGGCTTCGACTTGCCCCTCAGGCCGCCCCTCCTCCACCCTCCTCCCGCCTCGTCCCCTGCCCCATCCCCGCCCTCCAGCCCCTCGTCCTCGTACCCCTGGCCTTGCCCCCAGCCCGCCTGCCCCAGCGCCATGGTGTGCGCCTCCACCTTGCCCAGCGACTGCGACCGCGACGCCTGGAACTTGAGGCTCGCCAGCCGCTCCTGCTCCTCCTCATCCTCCTCCTCGTCGTCGTCGTCCTCCTCCTCGCCCTCCTCGCCCTCCCCTTCCTCCTCCTGGAGAGTCTCCAAATACTCCTCATCCCTCTCTCCACCATCATACTCAGCCTCGTCCTCCTCTCTCCTGCCCTCACCCACCCCTTCTCCATCCTCCCCTTCCTCCTCGATGGTTCCGCCACCCCACCTGCCCCCGTCCTCCCCCCACCGCCCACTCCCCTCCTCCCTCTCCGCGCCGCTGTGCCGCTCATCCATGGCCCACGTCACGTTCTTGCCCAGAGACTTGGTCCTAGACGGCCTGAGAGCCGTGGATGAGAGCTGATCAGCAGGAATCGACGATCGGGATCGCGAGGGGGGGGGGCGTGGCTTGAACGGGCCAAGATCGCCATACTGATCCGCTGCCCCCCCGCCAGCACCCCCACCAGCACCCGCATCGCCACCTCGTCCCCGCATGCCCCTGCTGCCGCCCTCTCCCTCGTCCTCCTGCTCCTCCCTGCCCTGTGCGCTCCACACGCCTGGCCCCAGCGAGTGCGAGCGCGAGGGCACGCCTTTGTGGATGCGCACTCCCTCCTTGTGGATGAGCTCGTCCAGCTGCCGGTTCACCCGCCCGTCCATCCACTCCCCATCCGTGCGCCCCAGACTCCGCCCCCTCACCAGATCCCTCGTCTTCCCACCACCCCCACCCTCCCCCTCTTCCCTACCCCCTCGCCCCCCACTCCCCTCCACGCGCTGCTCATCCGCCCACTTCAGGCTGCTCCCCCGTCGCAGAGCCGATGGCCTCTGCCCTGCGCCCTGCCCTGCCCCCGGCCCGTGCGGCGTCCACTCCTCGTCCGGCTGGTTCAGGCTTCCCCCTCGCCGCAGCCCCCCGCGGCGGTACCCCCCCTGCGCGTGCCAGTGCACGTCTCGCTGGTTGAGGCTGCCCCCGCGCTGCAGGTCCAAGCGCTGCTTCTGCTGCCCCGCCACCGTTTGCTCGTCGATGCGCCCCAGACTGCGCCCGCGGTACAGCTCCGACGCGCCTCCCCGCCCCGAGCCAGGTGGAAGCAGCTGAGCAGCGCCGCCGCCGTCGTCGTCGTGCGCACGGTAGAAGTCGTGATCGTCACGGTCGTACGGCGCGGCCTGGCCCTCGTCAGAGTCGCCCTCCATGCCATCGCCCTCATCCCCTTCCTCTGCCTCCCCATGCTCAAACCCATTGCCCTCCCCATGCTCATGCCCGAACCCATGCCCATCGTCATGCTCATTGCCATGCCCGTGCCCCTCATGGTACTCATCATAGCCCTCCTCCCCATCATGCCCGTACTCATGCTGTTCATGCGGCCCGTAGCCATGCCCGTGGTGGCCATCGTAGTCATCCTCCTCGTGCTCCTCGTACTCGCCCCCCTCACCATCCCGCGCATACTCGTCTGTCCCATGCGCCTCATAGCCCTCTTCTTCCCCATGCTGTACCCCATGCCCCTCCCCCTCATACTCCCCTTCCCCCTCCCCCTCATACTCCCCTTCCCCCTCCCCCCCGTACGCCCCTCCTCCCCGCCCGTACTCATCACCACCACCGAATGCATCTCCCCCCTCATCCACTCCCTCTGCGCCCTCACGCCCCTCTTCCCCGTCGCCAAGCATGTACTCCCCTTCGCCACCCTCATGCCCATACTCTCCCTCCTCCTCCCCTTCATGATATCTGTTCTGCCCCATCTCATACCCCTCCTCTCCCTCCACATACCCCTCCTCTCCCTCCACATACCCCTCCTCTCCCTGCACATACCCCTCCTCTCCCTGCACATACCCCTCCTCTCCCTGCACATACCCCTCCTCTCCCTCCACATACCCCTCCTCTCCCTCGTGAAATCCACGCTCCCCTTCCCCACCGAGCCCCTCCCCCCTTTCGTCGTACTCTTCTCCCTCAAATCCTTCCTCCTCCTGCTCCACATACCCCTCCCCATGCTCATCATACTCCCCCTCCCCATGCTCATCATACCCCCCCTCCCCACCATCAAGCCCCTCGCCTGCCATGCCACGCCCTTCTAACCTCTCCTCCCCATACGCTCGCTCCTCCCCATACTCTCCCTGCTCCTCCCCAAAGCCCTCCCCTCTCGCAGCGAGCTCAAATTCACCCTCCTCTCCCTCCTCCTCCTCCCCCCCCTCCTGCCCCTGCATGCCCAGACCAAAGTCGAAGCTCCCTCCCGAGTCCCCTCCCCTGTGGCCTTGACCCTTCCCCCTCCCACCTTGCCCCTCCCACTCGCCCTCGCCCTCCTCCCCTTCCTCTGCCAAACCCCCATGCCCTCCGGGCCCGTACTCACCATGGACGTCCCCATCTCCCCATTCCCCCCCATCCATCTCCCCATCCACATCACCCTCCATGCCGCTATGCAAGGCTCCTTCAAACAAGTCCACGCCCTCCTCTTCCTCCTCCTCCCAGTGCTCATCCCCATGCCTCTCAGCATCGCCCTCCCCATCCCACTCTCCCCCCTCCTCCTCCCCCTCATGCCACTCCTCTCCTTCCTCTCCTGCTTCTCCCTTCCACCCCGCTTCATCCTTCCACTGGATTTTCGTTCGCCTCCTCCTTCCCCCTTCCTCCTCTCCTTCTGTCCCTCCTCCCTGCTGCGACCCTGCTCCCTCCTCCCATTCCTCTTCCTCCTCCCTTTCCTCACCACCATCAAACCTCCTCCCCCCTTCTCCCTCCCTCTCCGCGCCCGGGCTTCTCATCAGCGCCTCCCCTTCCTCCGACCCCATCCCATCCTCACTCCTTCCATACCCCACCTCACCCTCCCACTCCTCTCCGTCCCTTCTCTCCTCTCCTTCGTCTCCCTCCTCTCCCTCCCCATCTCTCCATTCCCCTTCCCTCTCCTCATCCCAAACTTCCTCCTCCTCGCCCTCCACGCTGCTCGCCACGGCTCCCCCCATCTCCGCCAGCGCCTCCACATCGTGCTTCCCGCTTCTCCGCAGCCCGCCTCGCAGCCCCTGCGTGGCGGTGGCGGTGGCGGTGGCAGTGGCGGTGGCGGTGGCTCTGGCGTGCATCTCCTCCTCCTCGCGCTCGTCCTCCTCCTCGCGCAGCTCGTTCATCAGATCCGAGATGTACTTGCTGCTGCGCGCCAGCTGCGACGACTGCTGCTGCAATGACTGCTGCTGCCGCTGCTGCTCTTGCTCTGCCTCCTCATCCCCCTCGCCTACCCCTCTGTAATCCTCACCCTCCTCTCCATATTCCTCCTCGTCCTCATACTCCTTCTCATCCGCCCTATACTCGTCTTCTCCCTCTCCCTCCTCGTGCCCACGCCCCTCGTCCTCCTCCAAGTAGTCGTCCCCCTCACTCAACCCACCAGCACCACTGCCACCCGCCCTGGCAGCAGCAAGCGCCGCAGCAGCTTCAGCTGCAGCCTGAGCCGCCACATCATCATCATACAGATCCAGGTCAGTCAGCAGATCCTTCACGTACTTGGTGCTTCTATGCAGGCCACCGCTTCTCACACTGCCACCACCAAATCCACCCTCCACCTCCTCTTCCCCCTCATCTTCTCCCTCTTCCTCACGCCCTCCCACTCTCTCCTCCTCCTCCTCCTCCAGCTCGCCCATCAGGTCCTTCACATACTTGCTGCTGCGCTCCAGCCCTCCAGAGCCCCGGCTCCTCAGCCCACCGTCAGCACCCTGACCACCCATGGTGCCCCTGCCTGCGCGTGCCCCGTCGCCCCCCTGCAAGCCCAGCTCGCCCATGAGGTCGCTCATGTACTTGCTGCTGCGCTGCAGGCTCTGCGAATGCGACTTGGGGAACCGTGCCATTGCACCCCTCCGCCCACCATCCTCACCCCGGCTGCTGCCCCACCCGCCGTCGCTCCCCTCCCCATCCACCCCTTCCTCCCCCTCCTCCCCCTCCTCCCCCTCCTCCCCCATCTCCTGCATCAGACCAGTGAGGTATTTGCTGCCGCGCTGCAGACCTCCCTTCGCCTCCCGACCCCTCGTCTTCGCCTTCCCTCCCTGACCCACCTCCCCCCCCATCTCCCCCGGCCCATCGCCGCCATACAGGTCCAGGTCACTCAGCAGGTCGCTCACGTACTTGCTGCTGCGCTGGAGGCTCTGCGAAGCCGACTTTGGGAACAGCGCGCGGGCAGTGGCATGCCCCTCTTCCTTCTCCGCCCTCCTCCCCCCATTCCTGCCAGGAAAACCCCTGTCGCTGCCACTCATACCACCTTCCCCATCCTCCTCCTCTGTGTCCTCCCCACTGCCTCCTCCCATGCTGCCATTCTCCTCCCCCTCTCCCCCCCCCTCTTCCCCTTCCTCTCCCTCGTCGTCGGAGCGCACAAGCCCCCTGGCCTCCTCCTCGATCTCGTGCAGAAAGTCGATCACGTACTTGCCGCTGCGCTGCAGACTGCTGGACTGGGACGACGACTTGGGGAACAGCGACCGCGCTCCCTCCCCAACTCCTCTCCCGTTTGCTCCCTGTGCACTACCCTCCATGTCCTCTTCCTCCTCCTCCTCTCTCTCCTCCCCCTCCTCCTCTCCCTCCTCCCCCTCCTCGTCGTCTCCCTCCTCCCCCTCGTCGCCCTCCATCTCCCTCATCACATCAGCCATGTACTTGCTGCTGCGCTGGAGGCTCTGAGACGCCGACCTGGGGAAGGCAGGGGGCGCTGCCTGCCGCGCTCCTCTGCCCGCATCCCCCTCCTCCCCCTCATCCCCCATCTCCTCCTCCTCCTGCCACTCTCCCTCTCGCCTGTGCCTGCCGCCCTCCTCACTCCCACCCTCCTCCCCGCTGTCCCACTCATCGCCATCTTCGAAGCTCAGCTTCTCCTCGCCTCTTCTCCCTCTCTCCCCATACCGTCTCTCCCCCTCCCCCTCCGCCTCCCCCTCCCCCTCCCCCTCCTCCTCCCCCCCCTCCCCTCCCTCCCCCTCCCCCCCCCTCCTCCTCAGCATCGTACACGGGGAACAGGTCGCCCCCTTCAGAGCTCTCTCCCATGCTTGCAGCGCTGCCAAACCCCCGCCTCATGCCCCGTGGCCCCTCCACACTCCCTTCCTCCTCCTCCTCATTCCCCTCCCCGCGACTCCGCCTCTCGTCGTACACATCCGACCCTTCCTCTCTGTCTGATCCTTCCAAATCCTCACTGTCGCCCTCCTCCACACCCTCACCATCCGCCTCCTCGTCTCTCCCCCGCCGCGCAAACCCCCGTGCACCCATCTGCGCATGCCCCATGAACTCAGGCGTGAGGGGCGTCTGAGGGGTTGTGGGGGTGTACGGCATGTGCTCCTCCTCTCCATCCTCTTCTGCCTCTTCCTCGTCTTCCTCCTCGCCCCTCTGCGCCCCCCTCCCCTCCTCCTCCTCCTCCTCCTCCTCCTCCTCGTCCTCCCCGTGACCTCCCACTGGGAACAAGTCCTCATCCTCCTCCTCATCCTCCTCATCCTCCTCGCCTCGCCCTTCGCCCCTGCCAAACTGCCCCAGTGCGTCCACGTCCTCCTCACCATCCTCCCTTTCCTCCTCCCCGTCCCTATCTCCCCCAAACTCCTCCTCTCGCCATTTCTCCTCCTCCTCACTCCCTGCCCCCGCCTCCTCATCGCCCTCCTCGTCCTCCATGCCCGTGCGCTGTACCTCCGTGCGCTGCTCATCCCTCACTCTCCCATCTTCCTCCTCCTCATCCCCACTCTCCCATTCGCGCTCCTCCCTCGGCCCCTCCTCTCCTTCCTCCCCCTCGTCCCCCTCGGCTCGTTGCCTTTCCTCCAGCTCGTTCCCCACCTCATCTCGCCACACGATCCGCCTCTCTCTCCGTTTCCCCTCCATACTCCCCTCGCCCTCACTCTCCCCGTTCATGCTCCCTTCCACGCTTCCCGCTGCACTGCCCTGCGGGGTAGCCTCCCTCTTTCCCTCGTCCTCCTCGTCAATCTCGTCGTCCTCCTCCCCATCCCCATCGCTATTCCTCTCTATCTCCCACACCTCATGCTCCTCCTCTCTTGTAAACCGCACACGCCTCTTCCCTTCACCCTTCCCTTCACCCACCTGACTCCCCTCCTCGCCCTCCTGCTCCCCCTCCTCATCTTGCTCTTCCTCCCCGCCAGGGTACAGCTCCTCAGCCTCTTCCGTCTCCTTTGCTGCCTGCCCTTCGGCATCAGCTTCCCCTTCGCCTGCCTCTCCTATTCTTTTTCCCTCAATCTCCACCTCCTCTTCACTACCCCTCCTGCGCCTCTCCCCCCGTTCACCACCCTCACTGCGCCTGCTAGCCAGTTCATCCCCGTCCAGGTCACTCCCTACCTCCGATCCCTCCTCGCTCCTCCCCTCCTCCCCTCCCAGCCCTCTCTCCCCTCTCCCATACCCACCCCTGCCGCGCCCCTCCCCGCCACTGCCATACCCAATGCCCTCATCACTGAACTCCTCATCGTCATATCGCCTCCTGTACCTGTCCTCGTCGCTATAATCACCCCTGCCTCTGTCACTTCCCCCATCGCTGTACCTCTCCTCATCGCTGAACCCCTCTCCCCGCGGGCCCCTGCCATACTCACTCCCTTCACTCTCGTCCCCTTCCCCTTCAATGGACCTCCCCCCTCCCCCTCTCCTTCCCCCCATCGCCCTGGGAGTCTCCCCCCCTTCACTCCCCACGGCGGACCTCTCCCTCTCCTCCTCGCTATCCCATTCGCCTCCCCTCCCGCGCGCCTCTTCCCCCTCCTCGTCCTCGCTGCCCTCCATGTGCCGCCTCGCATGCCGTGGCATCCCCCCCTCCTCCTCCTCGGACCGCTCATCAGGCGTCCTCCCTAGATCGTCAATCTCCTCCGCATCTTCCTCCTCGTTCACACCACCCGCTTCCTTCTCTCCCGCCTCCTCAACTCCCTCCACCTGCTCCTCCCCCTCCTCCCCTTCCTCCTCCCCTCCCACTCTCTTTTCTCCCTCCATCTCTCGCAAGCCCTCTTCCTGCTCGCCATACACCTCCTCGTCCTCGTCATCCCTCTCCTCGCCCGCGTCTCCCTCCAGCCCCTCCCTCCCTCTCACCTCTCGTGGAAACCCGCCATCCTCCTCCCCGTACCCTCCATACATGTCCTCCTCCTCTTCCTCCTCTTCCTCCTCTTCCTCCTCTTCCCCTTCCCGCAGCGCCTCTCCTCTCCCATCCACGAATCCAACCGGTCCCTCCTCTTCCTCATCAGCATGTCCCTCCCTCTCATGCTCGTCCGCACCGTACAAATCATCCTCCTCTTCTTCGCCCTCCCCATCTCTCTCCCTCGCCACCTCTCCATCCCCTTCCTCATCCCTGTCGTCCTCATCCCTGTCGTCCTCATCCCTGTCGTCCTCATCCCTGTCGTCCTCATCCCTGTCTTCAACGTCAGCTCCTGCCCCTCCCCTCTCTGCCTCCTCCTGTGCCTCGCCCTCCTCCTCAGCCGTCCATTCCTCATCTCCCTCCAACCCCTCCTCCAGCCTCTCCCCCTCTTCCTCCTCGCCTTCTCCTTCTCCCTCTTCCTCTTCCTCCCTCGTTACCCCACCTCCCCCATCAGCCCGTGGACTCTCGTTATAGTCACTACCCCCGCGGTAAAGGTCGTCCCCACTGTCATCGCCATCCCCCTGCACACCCCTCCTTGCACCTGCCCTCGTCTCCATCTCCCTGTCATCTTCCTCATCTGAGTACAGCCCTCCCTCCTGCTGCCCTTCCTCGCCCCTCTCTCCCTCGTCCTCCTCGTCTCCATCCTCGGGTCTAACTTCCTCCCCATCCGCTGCCCCCTCTCCCTCCCCGTCGAATCTCACATTTGTGCGGCTGCCATGCAGAGAATGCTCATCCCCGCTCATCTCATCCTCACTCCTCCCATCGCTTTCAAGCTTTTCCCCGTACATATCCCTATGCTCCTCGCTCTGCGTATCCCTCTCCTCCTCGCCATACATGTCCCCCTCGTCCTCGCTGTGCGCATCCCTCTCCCCTTCACCATCGCTGAACAGATCCCGGTCCACCTCTTCTTGCCGTCCTTCTCCCGCTCCCTCCCCACCACCAGCATCAGAAGCCCCTTCGTCCGCCCCTTCCTCCTCCTCAGTGCTCAATTTCTTTGCTCCTACTCCATCCCGCTCCTCCACATTCTCCTCCTCCTCCTCCCCTCCCTCCTCCCCCTCCCCTTCAGTCCGCTCCTGCGGCTTTGTGCCCTCGTCTTCCTCTCCCACCTCCTCGCCGCCCTCCGCCTCAACCCCAGCCACGCCCTCTTCCTCGTCCCCCCTGTCACTACCCTTGCCCCCCACCGCAACACCACCTCCCTCCACGTCCCCTCCTGCTCCCTCCTCGGCCTCCTCATCCCCATCCTCCGACCTCTCCTCGTCACTGTACCTCCCTCCTCTCCTCCTGTACCTCTCCTCCTCCTCGTCGTCGTCACTGTAGCGCCCTCGCCTCCTCTCTCCCTCATCCTCCTCGTCACTATACCTCTCTCTCCGCCTGTAACCATCTCCTTCCTCATCCTCCTCCCCCTCATCTCCTGCGCGCCTCCCTACCCGTCTCCCATACTCCGTGTCATCGTCGCTATACTCCTCGTCGCTATATCTCGCCCGCTGCCGCCCCCCATCCCTCACTCGCCCGCCCTCTCCCCCCTCGCCCTCCTCATCACTGTACAACGGTCTCCTTCCCCTCCCCCCCTCCCCCTCGTCACTATACTGGCTTCTCTCATCCTCGCTATACTCGCCCCGTCTCTCCCCTGTTCTTCCGTATCCCCCCTCCTCCTCCTCGTCGCTATACCTTCCTCTTCTCTCACGCCCATCCCCCCCCTCCTCATCACTGTACAGCCCCTCCCGTTCCTCCTCGTCCCCGCCCGTCTCACTTGCTCTCCGCCTCTCCGTCTCCCCTTCGCTCCCTTCGTCCTCACCGCCTCTCCTCTGTCTTAACTCCTCCGACCCCACACTCCCACCGTCGCCCTCGTCATCACTCGCCCCGCCAACACTCCGGCCTGCAATGTCCCTTCCCTCTGCATCAACATCCTCGCCTAAGTCCTCACCCCAGTCCTCTCCCCCCACCGCACCCCCCTCCCTCCCCTCCCCCTCCTCCTCCTCCATCCCTGCGCCCTCACCGCCATCGCCAAGGCCCCCTTCATCGCCCTCTTCCCTTCCATCATCCGCGCCCTCAGCAGTCGCCTCCTCCGCCGCTCCAATCTCGCGCCTATCATCAGGCGCATCCTCTTCCTCGCTCCCCTCGTCCCTCTCCTTCCTTGCACCTCCCGCGCCCTCAATCGCCATTCCCTCATCCTCACTCCGCCCCTCCTCCTCGGCTCCTTCCGCCCCCCCTTCCTCCCCCTCCGATATCACCCGTTCGTTCCCCATGTGCGCTGCTCTCTCGCCCTCCTCGTCGTCGCTGCCTGCACGGGAAGGTCCTTCCTCCACCTCTGGTTCGCCCTCCTCCGCCGGCACCCCCTTCTCCCCCTCTTCCATCCCCTCTTCCATCCCCTCTTCCATCCCCTCTTCCTCCCTTTCCTCTACTCCCTCTTCCTCCGGATATACCCCCTCTTCCTCTGGGTATTCCCCCTCTTCCTCTGGGTATTCCCCCTCTTCCTCTGGGTATTCCCCCTCTTCCTCTGGGTATTCCCCCTCTTCCTCTGGGTATTCCCCCTCTTCCTCTGGGTATTTCCCCTCTTCCTCTGGGTATTTCCCCTCTTCCTCTGGGTATAATCCCTCTTCTTCCGGATATACCCCCTCTTCCTCTGGGTATTCCCCCTCTTCCTCTGGGTATTTCCTCTCTTCCTCTGGGTATTTCCCCTCTTCCTCTGGGTATTTCCCCTCTTCCTCTGGGTATAATCCCTCTTCTTCCGGATATACCCCCTCTTCCTCTGGGTATTCCCCCTCTTCCTCTGGGTATTTCCCCTCTTCCTCTGGGTATTTCCCCTCTTCCTCTGGGTATAATCCCTCTTCTTCCGGATATACCCCCTCTTCCTCTGGGTATTCCCCCTCTTCCTCCGGATATAACCCTTCTTCTTCTGGGTACTCCCCGTCTCTCTTTGGGTACAGCCCCTCGTCTTCTAATTGCCCCGCTTCGTCTGGGTACGCCCCTTCTTCCTCCGCGTACCCCTCCCCCTCTGCGTGCATCTCGTCCGCGTCAGCGCGCTCCTCCCCCTCCTCTGTTCCGCCCTCAGCGCCGTCGTCAGCTGCACCCTTCCCTTTCCCCTGCTTCGCCTTCCCCCGTCCTCCAAACCTCGTCTTTTCTTCACCTTCCCGCTCCACTCCCTCCTCCCTGTCCCCTTGATCCTCTTCCCCGTACATATCCTCCCCTTCCCCATGCACGTCCTCCCCTTCCCCATACATGTCCTCCCCTCCCCCGTGACCCTCTTCCCCAGACATATCCTCACCCTCGCCCTGTAAGTCTCCTTCAACTTCGGCACCCTCCGCCCCCTTCGCCCCCTCCGCATAAGCCTCACCGCCACCTTCCGCGCCCAACCCTTCTTCCTCGTAATCCCCCCCTACATCCGCGTGCTCGCCCCCACCTTCCGCGTATTCTCCCCCCTCTTCTGCGTATTCCCCCCCTTCTTCCGCGTATTCTCCCCCTTCTTCCGTAGGTTCTCCCCCCTCTTCCGCAAGCTGTGCGCCTTCCTCTCCATACTCCCCTTCCTCCCCATACTCCCCTTCCTCCCCATATTCCCCCTCTTCCCCATACTCCCCCTCCTCCCCATAACCTTCCTCACCATACTCCCCTTCCCCGTACTCCTCCCCTTCCGCGTACTCTTCGCCTTCCACGTACTCTCCCCCCTCCACGTGCTCCTCCCCTTCCGCATACTCTCCGCCTTCCGCGTGCTCCTCCCCTTCTTCCCCGTACCATTCCCCTTCCCCCTCACCCTCAACATACCCTTCCTCTCCCTCATAATGCTCTCCCTCTCCAACCGCTTTCTCTCCGCCCTCGCCCCCCTCTTCCTCGTAATATTCCCCGTCTTCCCCGTAGTATTCGCCTTCGCCCTCCCAGTCCCCTTCCTCCCCCTCGTACTCCCCCTCCCCTTCGCCCTTCACGCCTACCTCCTTCTGTCCCTCTACACCTGCTTCCTCCTCATAATAGTCCCCTTCTTCGCCGTATTCTTCGCCATATTCGCCAGCTTCCTCGCCCTCGTGATGCCCATCGCCCGGCGGGCGCGGCCCTCCTTTTCCGGAATCCTCGGGGCCACCTCCGCCCCCGTCATAGTCACCGTCGTCTCCGTACATGTCATCGCCTTCGTCATACTCACCCTCGCCTTCTTCATACGGCTTGTTACCATCGTCGTCGCCACCCTTCGCCGATCCGTCGCCATCCATAATCGCTCAATTTCGCAACTCTTACTTTCCGCTCGATGTGTTGAAGAACAGCAGCACGGTCTAGACGAATCTTAAAACAGAATGTGAAATGCTAACAATCTCGAGGGAATCGAGCGTGTGCTTCGGACTCTGCATACAGTAACGTCGGCCGGACCTCGGGTGCCCATCGAAATAAGTTAATGCTTGTCGCCCAATTCCGCGACAAGGCGGAGTTGAAAATCAGTAGTCAATCACCAGCCTTCATAAGCGATTGGACATAAGTTAGTAAGCTCGATAAATATTTACAAGACCCGCCTATTAGTGCCCTCTCGGATAGACACCAGTCTCCTGTGCGTTGATCACCCCTCAAAGGGCCACCACGGAATGCCACAACTGAAGAAGAAAGCGACAACTTCAAGGTGAAACGGAAAAGATTGGAAGGACGAGCTCCAAATGAGCCCGACAATTCCAAGGCAGGCATCAGTTGGTTGGTTGGGGGGAAAGGGGAGTGTCTTCGTTTCCCCTGCCTGGCGCAGCCACCAACCAAACCGAAGCAAAAGCAGAAAACCCTTGATCGGACCGTTGGGAATGTCGAAGCTGCCCGTCACTTTGCCTCGGTTCCCAACAGGTAAGCACGCATCTGGTTTGTAAGGCATGAAGGCAGGCTCGGTAGCGTACCTCAGATCAAGGTCTGGGAGGAGTTTTCTGGGCTTTCGGCGAGTGAAACAACATTTTCGTTCATGGCCGTTACAAGGTGTAAGGAAATGGTATTTCCTTAACCCCGGTTTAGACTAGTAAACATATACTACCACCATAAAGGGGTTGTCGCACTATTCTGCCACATGCATCCGGACAGTGTCAACCTAAATGCGGCTGTCTTCCGAGATGAATGAAATTTGTGTGATTTGTAGGTTAGTGCTCGTCAGGCGCAATCCGCCCCGATTTTCAGCCACACGTCTCAGCGCTACCGAGCCTTAACCATATGCTCCCGTGTCTACCAAAAATATAGCATATGGGTTGTTTTGACGTTGCCTATTATTGAAGGTTCTTCAAAGAGCAACCTGGTGCATTCCTGAGTATACACGTGCCTATGTAGCGCGTTAGGTCAGATAGAGAGAGCGCGCATCTCCAATACCGTGCCACTTCATACAGAGGGCGCGAACGGGTGGCAACAGCCATCCGAGTCAAGGCTTGAACAGTGCAGCGAGAGGTTGCAATTAGAAGTTGCGACATGAGGTGACAAACAGCTCAGGGTAGAGTCTAACAAGATACAACAATCCAAGGCAACACTACTTGTCTGGCCTCTGGTGTAGGTGACAAACAGCTCAGGGCAGCACTACAAGTCTAGCCATTGAGACGAGGGTCAGAAGGCCAGTCAGCAAGAGTAACCAGACAACTGGTATAGTTCAGCATATACAGATCAGGATACAAGCAATTGTGGGGCAAGTGAGACTAGGCCAAGCTGAGTACAAAACCGCTGATGATAACGAGGCCCAAGGGCCTTGGTGAAGATATCAGCAGTATTGGCCTCTGAGGCCAGCTGTACTATGTGGGTCTAGCCGCGTTGCTGCAACTCACGCAGCATGAAGTACCGCAGCTGGATGTGCTAGGCCTTGCCCTCAAGTCGAGCCTCCTGACATAGGAGGATCATGGCCCTGTTATCAGCAAACAGGACCGGAGCAGACCTGGGCCGCTTACCTAAGTCAATGAGCAGAAACATCAACCAGCACAGCTTCTGAGCAGCCACAACACCAGTGTAGATCTCTGCCTCACAACTAAGCTGTGCTACAGACGACGACCACGAGACAGCACCTGCACCAAGGCTGAAGCAGTAGCCATATGACGACCTGGGCGTCTCCTGATCGTCAGCCCACGATACGTCCGTATGTCCAGTGAGAACCATTGGTGCTCGTCCTCCCAACAGAAGCCTCAGACCTGAGGTACAAGATACTGCAATACTCTCTTAGCAGCCAACCAGTGCTCTGGTCGGTGTCTGCCAATCGCGACGAAGAGAGCGAGAATGCTGAGAGGGTGTGCAAGTTCGGGGCAAGTGCAGGTTTTTCCCCAGCGGGTCTCTCGACACCCCCCCTCGCTGGGATAGGCGGAGGACACGAGCGCATCTGCAGCGCTTGCACTGGGAATTGAACCCGAGTCACCCACGCTCTGATAGCATGACAGAACTTAGTCACTAACCACTGAATTAAAAGGGCTTGTTAATAGCAGGTCAGTGCGCCCATAGCCCCCCAGACTCTGCTCCTGTGGCCCTTCCTCGAGGATCTTCTCAAGGGCAACCCCAACGGGTCTTTTGACATGGACCACTGGGCTCGACCAGCTCACCGGAGACAGGAGCTGAGAGATTGTGGTCCAGAGGCAGGGGAGGGCTGTGCCGACGAGAACTGAAGACCAAACCTCTGAAGGATCTACAGCACCATGTGGAACTGGGAGAGGGTGATTGTGCATGGTACATAGTCACGTGAGATCTCCAAACCCAAATAGCACCGTAGCTCTCCCAGATCAATGCAGGCATGTCTTCTGAGTAGCTCGGTCTTCACTACGGCCAGTGCGACCCTCTCTGGTGTAGAAAATATCCGGTCGTCAACGTACACAAGGATGTAAAAGGGAGTATGGCCAGCATGAATGAAGAGTGAGGGGTCAGAAGAGGATGGGAAGAACTGGATAGCCGCTAGTGTAGTGTGGAGCGTGTCGTACCACTCATGGGGCGCCTGCCTTAGACCGTAGACAAGGCACCGTAGGCTCCACTGGGTGGAGGGAAGCCATGGAATGGCGTGAGGTTTAGGAAGGAGAAAGTTGACGAGAGAAAAGATGTTCAGACTAGAAAGAGAGAGGGATACAAGGAGGGGATTGTACCCTCTACAGTAGAGTTCGATAACCTACCAAGCCTACACAAATATATATATATATATAAATATATAATTTGACACACCCCCTAGGCTTGGTAGTCCCAAGCCCACACACACCCACACCCCCTAACATAGCCCTCCCATGCCCAGCAGCATGCGCGATGACTCCGGAATGGGTCAAATCCCACGGCCCGTGAGATGGCAATAGCGGCAGCAGTGGCAGTGACGAGAGCAGCGGCGGCGTGCGGCGGCAACAGGCCAGCGGCGACGGTGGCTTCAACGTCAGAGGCGACTGCAGTGGCCCCCGCCCTCTCGGCGGCATGGCCAATCTCCTTGGCGAGGGGGGAGGAGGAGGGGGGGGGGGGAGGGGAGGGGGGAGGGGGGGGGCGAATCTTTTGCGAGGCACCATCGCTGGCACGACGCTTACTGGCATAAGGGCGTTACGACTGGTGCCTAGGACAGGGCGCTAGCCGCAGCTGTCCGTGCGCTGGCGTGGCGAAGCCGCCACGGCAGCACGACGGCACGGCGGCGCGGCGGCACCGCGGCACGGCAGCATGGCGGGACGGCGACACGGCGGCCTTGAGGCACGGCGACGTGACGGGGCCAGCGCGGAGGGACGGGGCCGGCGCGGAGTGACGGGGCCAGCGCGGAGTGACGGGGCCAGCGCGGCGTGACGGGGCCAGCGCGGCGTGACGGGGCCAGCGCGGAGTGACGGGGCCAGCGCGGCATGACGGGGGGGGGGAGTACGTTGCGGAAGCGTAAGGAGAAGGCCCGAGCGAAAGGGGCCTGCTCTGATACCATGTTAAACTAAGCTAGGTAGGAGGGAAGCCATGGAGTGGCGTGAGGTTTAGGAAGGAGAAAGTTGACGAGAGAAAAGATGTTCAGACTAGAAAGAGAGAGGGATACAAGGAGGGGATTTTACCCTCTACAGTAGAGTTCAATAACCTACCAAGCCTACACAAATATATATATATATATACATATATATATATAATTTGACAGCACAGCCTTCTTCACAGACGTCGCGTCAGTAGTAAGAGCGCCCGGGCAGGGGATAGCAGGGAGCTCACCAGCAACGTGCTCGTCCAAGAACTCGTCGTCGACACGCTGACTAGTGAGCTGCAGGAGAACTGCCTCCTGCCAGGCGGCAAAACCAAACCCCGTCCTTCCTCATCCAAAGCGCAGAACAATGATGCTAGGCGATGACATGCTGGCGGCTGTGGTGGCAGCTGCGGCCATGTGTTAGGATTAAAAACGGAGTCTAGGTAAACTTATGAGCTAGAATTACTCAAAATACAAATCCGAAATTCTGGACAGAAAAGTCGTCTTCACAAGAAACGACGTCGACAAAAAACAAGCTGTTGGAATGTCGCGAAAATCGGATATGTTGTCGCTTGTAATCTTAGCTACCGTTCTCAATTTGAATCACGTCGATTGATGGAGTATTCGCGATGCTATGTTTTTCGACGCACTGGGGGGTAAGCTGTAGGAGGAGAACTTAACTCAATCTCAAAAAGTTCAATCAAAGTTCAACAATCTCACAAGGAATTAGAGGAGCAAGAGAAATGTTGGGATAGAAGAGAGGGATGAGAGGGAATGTCCTAAGAGAGTCCTCAACCAAGGAAACCCCATACGCACAAAGATTCCCCCCCTATAGGAACCCCAACTTTGACATTTGTCCCTTCCCAACCAATCCATCCAAGTTGGCCACCCTTGCCAACCTAGCTTGGTTGTTCCCAACCAATTTGCAGTTGTTACAGTAGAGTGACAAATTTCCCCAACCCCAAAGGTCCCAAATCCATATTGAGTCACCCCACAACTTCACTTTGTAACCGCCGCAATTGTAACGCAAGCTCATGAACTTTGAATCTTCATAGCTTTCGCGTTCTTGCTCCGATTGAAGGGATTCTCGTTGCGTCGGAAAGATCTTCTCAAGATCTATCATCACAAAATACATGCTCAAACAAAATAACACAAAACAAATTCCCAAGCTCCAGAACACACCGCACACAAATTCTTGCACACGTTCAAACCACACATGCAAGTTGAAAACATGGGATGGGAGGCAGACAGAATGTGATAGCATATGATGACATCACACAACACCATGAAGACAGAGGCGGTAGAAGCAGGGACAGCGGCGGCAGGTGCTACAGGGGCAGCAGTAAGGGATGCTGCAGTGGGAGCCGGTGGCAGCGGCTGCTGCTTGGTGGCGGCGGCGGCGGGCCAGCGGCGAGATGGCTGGCGGTGACAGCGCGGCTGCTGGCTAGCGGCGGTAGCGGCAAGCGTAGAGGTAGTGGCGGTTGCAGTGGTAGGAGCAGCGGGAGTAGCGGCTGCAGTGGCAGGAGTGGGTGGCAGTAGCGGCTGCAGTGGCAATGGCAACAGCGGGAGGAGCTGGGGCCGTAGCAGCAGCAGCGGCAGTGGGAGGAGCAGCAGCAACGGGAAGAGTGGCGGCAGCGGTGGCTGCAGCGGCAGCGGCGTCAGTGAGAGGAGCAGCGGCAGCAAGGGCTGCAGTGATAGTAGCAG